TTCACCATAATACAAATGTTGTCTTGCTTCACCATAAATTAAAACGATATCCATCAACTCTGAGTTGCTATACACGTAAGCCATTTTTGACACTAACTACTAAAAAACTGATGTAAATACCACAGATAACAGGTAAAAACTACCGGAACGACGGATTTCAGTATTAGGAGTCACATGGCTCTCCACGCGTATTGCGAAGGACGCTAGAGACTACAGTTGTCCAGCTATGTAGTGGTTTAATGTGCTATAACTTCAATAATTTTTTTCTCAGAAACTTTAAGGATTTTACAAAAATTTTTTTTACAATATTGACTCCATTTCTCATGCCGCATCTATTCCCAAATTTTTTTGGATAAGTTGTGAATCACCCTGTATATTACGTACTTTCTCCTTGATTATTGATTTCTTTTCATAGCAGCCAACTATAGTTGAATTGCTTCCGTAGAAATTCACTTGCAAACATTCAGCACTACAAAAATGTTTATTTTAAATTTATAATAACTATTAAAAATGACGATTAACTGTGACAACAAAATCATAGATTTTTAATAAAAACTATAAATATACTTACGTGCTAGATAATTTAAAAATATTTGACATTTTTAATAAAAGAATTCGTATATATTATGTTGTATAGTTTACTGGTTGAAGGCAAAACGTGTGCATTTATATGCATATAATTTTATATTAATTTTATTAACAGCACGTAACAAAATATTTATGTAGGTACTGTATTAAAAACAAACCTCGCTACTAAAAAGTAACACATATTTGTTTTAAAAAATTTTCAGGTCGATAACTTCACGTAACAATATTGAAATCGTTACAAAATTGCAATCGCAAAGAAAAGTAAACATCTTATTAGAACTAAATCGTATACTTTCAACCGAGCCTTGTTCCACCTCCTGTGATTACCTGAAATAGGAAGCTTAGAGCTATGAATTTTAGACAGTTTCTAAGAGGTTATTTTATTATCCCCTAGGACTTTCACCGCAAGATTGCACAATGCCTGGGTGGATCAGGTATGAGAACTGAGGTGTAAGCCGGGAGCAATGTGCTCGCAAAGATTATTAAAAATTAATTTATTGGTAAAATAGTTATTTGATTATTTATCTGTTTTAATACAATGCAAAATGGCCAGGTTCCGTTCCAGGCAAGATATATCTGGGTCGACGTTCGATCCTTGGTAGGTCCGCATACGTCCTATAGCGAAATCCGATAATCAGCCTCGATCTGGATTTTACTCATCTTTGGAATTTCACTGATTGGAGCTGATGATCGACTTGCAGTCTACATGGTACTCTAATTCTGTCTTAATTCCTCAGTAACTTCCGTACCTTTTCGGTTTCCGGAAATCGAAACCGACGTGAATTTTCTATTTTGGTAGCGCGGTGTCGGCGGCTGCTCTGCCAACAGCATCGACCACTGACGGTGTTGTCTGCTGCGGCTTGCGGTGTTTGGGGAGGCTAGGAGTTTTGTAAAAAAAACTTCCGAAATATAGTCAAAAATGTTATTTTTCGCGCCTTCTACTTCTTATGGAAAGTAATTTGGGTTCCCTCAGACCCTTGAAGAAAACTTGGAATATTTGGTGAAATGTGAAAATTAGGATTAATCCTTCATTTTTTATCGAGACCGTAAACAATGTACTTCAAAATTGACGTAAGAACTCGTCAATATAACGTTGACGATGATATATTATAATGCAGCAAATGGAAAAAATAGATTCATCTTACTACAGACTTATCGGGAGAGGAAGCAATGTATTATACAATATTTGTTCAGATTCTTCTGTTTGTTGTCTAATAAAAATTGATTAACACGATGAAATGATTAAATTAGTCCATTACGTAGTTTGTCGTAACTTTAGTGATTATTGAGACGAATCATTCGTCCATCACGTGGTGTACTATTTAAACTCCTTTTTTTAATGAACCAGTTTTGTAATCTACGATTTTGTCAAGTGATGCGTGCAAAAATTGGTTACATTTTCTTGACAGTGCCTCAATAGAAGTCGTAAATTACTAAATGTATAGTTAATAATATTAAAATATTTCTAGCTTAATGTAATAATAGTATTCATGTGTTCAGTCAGTATTATAATTTTTTATATTTAAACTACCTAACTACCTATTAGATCACACCTTATAAGAACACGAAAAAAAAGAACTGTTATATGGCAAAATTTAATTGCAATTCGATACCCTACTTGATGGATAACATTGGATTTGAGTCTCAGATGTAATATTAATTTTATCACATTCAAACTGTAAACGCCAATAACCACAGATAATTTTTAATCAAATTTAGGAAAATAATACAAATACATTTTAATATCGATCATTCAAAATTGTATGTACTTATGTAAATGCGAGATGACTATTTTATTTATTTATTCTATGATTATATTTTTAAATGTATTAAAACTGTGACACATCAAATTTGATGAATACCTAGGTACTTTCAACGGAGATAACTCAAAGAAATTCACGAAATTTAGGAGGTATTTGGAAGATATTTAAATAAAGGGGATATTACTCACTTAAATTAATGACAATAAGAAAGATATCGTTTATCTACGTATTAAAGTACCTACATACAGGGTGTACCGCATAAGAACCGACATAGGGCAGGTGCATGTAGGGTGTCCAAAATATTGTAAATTAACCAGACTTACCTATATACAAAGCTGTTGTTGTTATTAGCCCCCAAAGTGGCGCCCTAAATTTCGAAAAAAAAAATATATCTCTGCAACACTTTACCGTAGAAGAACCAAATTTTGGTACACGATTTAGGTTTATTATTGGTCTTCTTTGACTATGATTTAAACTTAATTGAAGCACTACAAGGTGTTCATTGAGGATGACTCATCCCTAAAATTGTTCAGAACTTTTTTTTCATTGACCGAATTGAAAAATAGTAATATTAATTCAGAGCAGAATAATTTAATTTAATTTTTTTTTACTCTAAATTTAAAAAAACTGGTTTTCAAGAAAACCAGTATTAACTGATACAACGTTTTAACAAGGTTCATTAGAAAATAATCAAAAAGTCAGTAGTAGGCAATGAATTTCTTTCAAACTTGTCAGTTACCTAGTAATAAAATTATTTTATTTTAGCAATTAATTGCCTCTGATTGTTGCTGAAAATGGCTGGAAAATTTACATTTAGCGAACAAGTTCATATGCTACTTGTGCTGGGTTTCTGCGAAGGAAACTGTAGAAGAAGAACAATTATTGTTGAAATAGAATAATTTTACTACTACTTAACTGACAAGTTTGAAAGATAAATTCATTGCCCACTACTGACTTTTTGATTATTTTCTAATGAACACTATTAAAATCTTGTGTCAGTTAATACGGGTTTTCTTGAAAACCAGTTTTTTTTTAAATTTAACAAGAATAAAAAAAAATTTAAATTCAATTCTGCTGTGAATTAATATTACTATTTTTCAATTCGGTCAATGGAAAAAAAGTTTTGAACAATTTGAGGGGTGAATCATCCCCAATGAACACCTTGCTTCAATTAACTTTAAATCATAGTCAAAGAAGACCAGTAATAAACCTAAATCATGTACCAAATTTGGTTCTTCTGCGGTAAAGTGTTGCAGAGATATTAATTTTTTTCGAAATTTAGGGTCCCACTTTGGGGGCTAATAACTCCCCAGGGGTGCAACTTTGTATATAAGTATGTTTGGTTAAATTACAATATTTTGAAAATGCACCTGCCCTGTGTCGGTTCTTTTGCGGGACACCCTGTATATTTTTATTGCTGGTAGATACTCAGTATGTTTGTAAATAGGTACTATACTTTATAAATTTATGATCTATAATAGACGTTTCTACTTGAATAATATTTAGAACTGTTAATTTTCCATAATATTAAAAACATCAAATTTTAAAGTAACTACATGTTTCTTCATCTGATACTTCAAATTTAAAGAGTACCTAATGCACTGTTAAAAACTGAACTAGTTATTATTTAAAATAATGTAGGTATGTATGTATCATTTCACCTTCATTGTTATTTAAAGTTTTTAGTTGATTATGTTAATGCAAATGAGATTAATTTATAAAAAATGTGTATCTACTGCCTCGCAACAAAAATCGACGGTGATCTGTTATTCGCATAATATGTGCATGTACAAAATTAATAGTTTTCAAAATAATTTACGTGAAAATAAGCTTTCCTTGAACGACCTGGTAAATATGAATTGTACTTACTACACGTAATATTCCTATAATTCTACGAGTAATATAATAAGTACCTTTACACTTTACCTTTCTTGTAATTATCTGTAAGATCTATGAGTAACTGTAACTGTTTCCATTGCGCACAAAAAAGAGCACCATTTTTTAATTACAAAGTTACCTATTTCTAATTCAACAAAAATTTATATTATCGACTAGTCGTTTGAATAATTAGATATGAAAATAAATTGGTAATTAAATAATAAGTAAACAATTATTGGTTGGTTTATAAAAAAGTATTAGTCCTAACTTAGCCGTAACTTAACCTTAATCTTAGTCCTAAAAAGATAAATGTACAGAATGTAATGTATCGGTTTATAAAAATCTTAACCTTGCCCTAGTTCTATACATTACATTTTGTACATTTAAATTTTTAGGACTAAGATTAAGGTCAAGTCATATACAATACTGTACCTGCTCTGTGGTTAACTTAAGGCTAAGTTAGGACTAATACTTTTTTAAACCAACCATATAAGTGGGTATAGCGGGATATTATGTCAATAAGATTTAAATTCCATTATTAATTACGTATTTATTTTATTTACTCTTGTACCTATGTGTATATTTATATTCAGCGTATATATATAACCTATAAGTAGTTATTGTGGATATCTATTTGTAATAAAAAATACGATAAAATAACAACAAAAATGATATTCAATATGTTGCGAACGAATATGGCTGACGTAAGTCCCGTCCGATCAACTTTAGCTTTACTTAAAATATAAAGTAGGTGATAAAAAAAGTACTTACCCCATATTTAATAGTTGTACTGGCACACAAAGTGTGCAAACTTTAAAGTTGCTAGAACTCCATGGCGCACAGATTGCACTTAGAAGAATTTAAAACAATATACACTTTACCTACCCATCGATAAAAGATTAATGAATGAGGCAAGGGGAAGGATGAGAAACATTGCGAAAGTTGTAAAAGGCATGGTTATGAGCCATACTGCGCATGCTTAGTTTCAAGTGAAGTGGCGGGACTTCAAAAATGAGATATGATAATTTATTATTGGAATTTACGTCAACGAATATATCAATTGCTAGGTAGAAATATGTTTTAGAACTTTAACATATTTTTTAGAATTTATTTTCGTTATGTATATAGGAGAGTGATACAAAATATATGTACGAATATATAGGGTGTTTCATTTCTGGTGTGCCGAACGAACTCAGATGATAAAGTAATTTTGAGCAAAAAAGTTTATATCCACATGTGTCCGAAAACGCCCCCCTGTGGCGCTACGTCACTTTATAAGAGGGCTATAAAGACACAATTTTATTACAATATCTCGAAAATGCTTTGAAATAAATTGATAAAATGATAAAATTTTATACAGATACCATTTATTAAGAAAAATTACTTTATCTAAACCAAATTGACACATTGTTTTCAGGGGCGTCCCTACGGGAGGCAAGTCAAGGTTCAAAATCCGTAACTTTTTATATTTGTCAAATTCGTAATTTGTTTTTCGAAAATCGAAATCCGTGAGCATTTCTACATAAAAAAAATATATTTCTTTCATTACGATATCTGTAACGGTTTTCCAGAAAAAGTCAATTTTAACTTCTTATGCTTCACTGAAAATTAAAAATTATAAAGAACCTAGAATTCTATTTTCCCTACATGAAACACATGGTCAAGGATTTCGATTTTCGAAAAAAGAATTATGAATTTGACAAATAAAAATAGTTACGGATTTTGAACCTTGGTTTGCCCCCCGTAGGGACGCCCCTGAAAACAATGTGTCAGTTTGGTTTAGATAAAGTAATTCCTCAGAATAAGTGGTACCTACTTTATAAAATTTTATCAATTTACTTTGTAGTATTTTCGAGATATTGTAATTAATTAAAGGGGCGTAGCGCAAAAGAGGGGCGTTTTTGGACATAACTCGATATGACCTTTTTTCTCAAAATTACTTTCTCTATCATCTGTGTTCGTATGGCACACCAGAAATGAAACACCCTGTATATAAAAAATAATAATTATTAATCAAATAACTTTTTCGATCTGGCAATATGTAGTAGTTTTTTTTAATATATAAATAATTGGATATACAGAGTGTTTTGATAAATGGTGCTATAAATTCAGGGCTTCAAAATTGTCATTTGTTTTTGACATACGTACAAGACATCAACAATATTTTGTAAATCATATTGGCCATAACTTTTTCAAAAAGTAATAATATACCCACCTATATACCTGCAATAGAACTTGGTTTTTGTCCACAGTCCATAAATTTATAGAAGGTGGCTAATGGTCAGTTTACAGAGTTTATCCAATGGTTCATAGAAAAAACTGTCACCAACTTATTAGTAAACAGATTAATTATAAATTTGGTTTATTTAAACGATGTTACAGTTAAAATTTCTTTTACACTATACAGGGTGTTTTATGTAAGAACCGACAGAGCGGGGGCATGTAGGGGAACTCAAAATATAGTGATTTAATGCAACTTACCTTTATACTAAGCTGCACCCCCTGAGAAATCATAGGCCTTGAAAGTGGAGTTTCAAATTTCGAAAAAAATCAATCTCAGTGATGTTAGAAAAACCAAATTTGGTACACGGTGAGTCTACTACGAGCATTAATCGACAGTAAGTAGAGTTCAAATAAAGCATTTTAAAGGGTTGATGCACCATTAAAATGTATGTAATAGAAATTTTTAATCCGTTGGTGGACTTAAAAAATTACATTATTTTATGGGGAATTTAATTCTAAAACTTTTCTTAGCCTTATTAATTTTCAAAAAAGTTTATCGTTTTCAAGGAAAACAAAAATAACTAATAATAAGAATAATTTAATAGAAAAAGAAACAACTTAACTCGGCCATAAATTTATTCTTCCTTGAAAATTGAGGTCTACCCTATCCAATAACTGCTAATTGTTTCCAACTTAGCTTTTGAAGCCAACTTTTGAATTTTTGATGATTTTAAATAACACAACTACAAAACATATTATTAGTTACTCGTAGTTTTGTTGAAAACGATAAAGTTTTCTGAAAACTAACAAAAGTAAGAAGTTTTAGAATTAAATTCCCCATAAAATAAAGTAACAATTTTTTAAGTCCGCCAACGGGTTGAAAAACTCTCATATTTTTAATGGTGTATCATCCCTTATCGACCCTTTAAAATGCTTCAGCTGAACTCTACTTACTTTCGATTAATGCTCTTGGTACACTCACATCGTGTACCAAATTTGGTTTTTCAAAGTTCAAGTATAACAGAGATATTGCAATTTTTGAAATTTTAAACCCCACATTCAAGGCCTATAACTTCTCAGGGGTGCAGCTTAGTATAAAGGTAAGTTGCATTAAATCACCATATTTTGGGTTCCCCTACATGCCCCTGCTCTGCGTCGGTTCTTATGTGGAACATCCTGTATATTCAAGTTACAAAAAACTGCCTGCTTCTGAAACACACAGATCCTTAATAAATTTTATTTTCGTGTATAGAAAATGATTTATCTAAAACCACGTTTTCTCACGGTGGTACACGAAACAGCTATGGTGTACATGAAGATATCTCATTTTATTTCATTTACTATTCCAGTTCTAGCATATTTATGGAAATTTTAATATAATTTTTGTAATAAAAATACATTTCATTCCAAAATTGACATTGATCGAAATCTACAATTAAAACTAGCTTTGCTAGAACCAGACATTCTCTCGCCTCAAATTTTCAAGACCATCCGTCATATTAATTATTTCTTGATACTTTAGTTTTTTTTATAGAATACTAATTCCTGTTAAATTTAATACTTTATTATGGAAATGCAACATAACGTAATTAAAACAAGTAAAGTAATTCTAAAAATATTGAGTATTTAAAAAATGTATATGCGATAGCGTAAATATTTTTATAGATCTACTGTGACATGTGCATCTTATAACTCATCATACTTGGGTTCAGTGCCTTTAAGTTTAGATTCGACCAATTTCCAAAATATTTCTGGAGAAGTGTATATTTCAGCAACTATAGGATAATCACGCATAGTTTTTCTCCATTTCCTAAGAAGTGGTATTTGATCATCTTTCACTGGTAATTTTGTTCCTAGCTTTATCGCTATACAACCAGCCCTTTCTGCCCAAGGCCACAGCATATAATCAACCTAAAATATAAAATAAAAGTATTGAAAAATGTTACGGTTTTTTATTTTGAAACATACCATTCCTGGTTTTTCTCCACCAAAAAAGGGTGTTCCTCTTTGAGCTAGTGCATCTTCAAAATCTTGCAGTGGAATTAAAAAATCTTTTAACCACTCCTCTGGAGTCTTTTCTTTGTTAGTAAAGACGCAATCAGCAAAAACCTGAGTTACAGATCCGATCTTGGTTATTAAATCCTTGTCGCGTTTCTTCAATTCAGGTTCCGCAGGATACAGGGGGTTTATGGGGTATTTCTCATCGAGATAATCACATATGTCAAGACTTTCAATAATAATCTTTGACCCATCAAGCAAAGCTGGTACTTTCCCTACATATGAAAAAAATATTTGGATACAAATTATATCTGACTATCTGACTATAGTAGGATCATATTCGATGCAAAGTAATAAATCATTGCCTGCCAAGGGATTCAGTGACATTCGCTTTTAAGGGTTTTAGAAATTGAATAATTTGTTTATACATTATGAAGGGACGAAGGGATCAGTTCACGTCTGGCGACCTTGTTCCTACAAAAATTTGTTTATTCTCATAAACTATTTATTTTAAATGTAATTTATTATAAATCCAATTTGTTTTTTAATTTCCACATATGTACAACATTTTACCTCTGTACGCGCCACTGTTGTTTACTTGTTTTTTGGAAGCACTCTCTGTTTTACAATCAAGCTCGCCATGCTAGTATTTAACTTATAACCGACCACTTCGTACACTCGATGCACCGGGACGACTACAGCTACTAAGAGAACACAATCGGTATGATGCGGTATTTCAGATTTAACATTGAATTTCATTTTAAATTTGAAATGATTCACCTTACGCCTCCTAAAAATGATGACACGATTTTCCTTTGATAAAAGACCGACAACTTTTTGCTCTACTTTGCATCGAATACGATCCTACTATAGCATACTTTAATTTTTTGGTAATTATTTACTATAGTGGCACCCTCTCCAATTTTCACAAAATTTTGTCTACCCCCCTATTTTCGATGATGCTGAACACGAATCTGAAGTTTTTTTTGTGCGGTCGAACCCAGTTTTTGGGAAAAAAATTTTTCAAAATGCTAAACTAAATATTTCAGATAACACTACGTAGAACTCTGTATATTTTATGTAGCTTTCAGAACATCTGTAATAAACAATCAACATTGTTTAAGAAACACATTTTCCCAAATTTGAACTAAAAAAAATATGTATTTAATAAATAAAATAATAGTAACTTTATGTGGGATGAACAGAGATGAATGAGAGTGGGGGAACTCAATGTTGTCGTCATCACGAATTACAAATGGCGGATTCAAACTACAAAATTTTTATTTATTAAATACATTATTTTTTACTTGAAATTTACGAAAATGTGTTTCGTGAAAAGTATAATTGTTCATAACAGATGTTCTGAAAGCTACATAAAATATACACTACGTAATGTTATCTGAAATATCCAGGTTAGAATTTTGAAAAAAATTTTTCTCGAAAACTGGGTTCGACCGCACAAAAAAACTGCAGATTCGTGTTCAGCACCATCGAAAATAGGGGGGTAGACAAAATTTTGTGAAAATTGGAGAGGGTGCCACTAAAGTAAATAATTACCAATTTTCTTTTTTAATTACCAGTGTCCAATTATTTTTATATAATTAATAGCTTGTGTAAAAATATAGTTCTTTTTACCTTCTGCATTAATTTTAAAGTACCATTCTGGTTTATTGATCAAGTTTATATTCACGATATCATGGGGAATTCCTTTTGCATTTAGAATTAATCTAGTCCTTTGGGCAAAAGGACAAAACTTCATGGAATAAAGTCTTAACAAACTTTCAACTCTGGGAGGCTCCTGAGAACCTAACAGAAAAAATTATATTATGTATAAAAAATCATAACCTATAACTATTTTACTATTCACCTATGGTTAAATGGGCGGAGGACATTTTATATAAATGACACTGAATTTTTCTTGCGAATTAAATTACAATTCATGTATTTATTAGCTTCCGATAGTGGCAACCAATACTAATACTAATCTAACAAAAAAACAGAAACAGGTTGTCAGATTGACCTTGAAATTTTGAACACTAGCGACATGGAGACTAGTCTCCATGACTAGCGAGTTGATTTTTATTGCTGCTTTCCAATTGCTACTCCTGAAGTGTTCTTCTACTGTTCTACTCTTTAAATACTACAAATTTAAACAACTGGAACACCCCCCGACAGAAACACGTATTTTTTTTTTTAAATTAATTTTCAAATTCTAACACTTATTATAGTTCATCAAAGGTGTAGTGAGGGGCAGGGCAGGGGAAACAATTTAAAGTCTTTTACGGACGAAACAGGTTTTGCCATCTCTTATTGATATACAAAAATAAAATGGGCGGTAAATTTAAATTGCTCCGAAATAATTTTTATATAAATTATTTAAATGAGTTGGTACAATATAACTTTATATTTATAATCAGCAATCTATAAATTACATAATATTTATTGGACAATAAAATACTGAAACTATTATCATATATATTTATTTAAATTTACAAAATATGTAAGAAATGTCAATGTTTACTAATAGGTAATGAAAGCTCTAGCACCATTTAGCCTTTTTATATTATTTCCGTTCTCAGATTATCACTAGATATCAACAGTTAAATTAATCACAAATAGCAATAAAGACTTTCCGCATAAAAACTACATCACAAATTTTCTTCAAGTTACAGTGCAATTAAAAATTAGTCTTTTGTTATCTGTAACCAAATAAACAAGTCTAGACATACATATTTTTTAACTTTAACTTACTATATATTTCTTGGGAGCTTCATAAATATGTAGCACTGCATACTCCAGATATAAAATTGGAAAGTGACAAAATATTTTTTTTAATTATACATCTATTTTCTGTTCCAAATACGACGTTTCCAATTTTATTCTGGCCGGAATTCTCATTTTATAATGAAATATAGTACTAATTATTGTTTTTGGCAATTTTAAGGCTTACTTGATCCAGTGGTGTGTCAAACTGTTCTCTGGATATCCTCATAGGTACAATTTTTAGGTTCCGGTAATTCTTCTCTACAATTTCTCTTAGGCTGCGTTAAGTGAATGGTTGGACGAATCAAAGTTGTTAGGTGCCTGATGCGATTGTACCGTGTGATTGATCAACTGTTAAGTCAATTGTTCAGATTTTGAATATAATAATAAGACGGGTGCTCAGGTTGGATTTTTTACTTAATGCAGCCTTAGTAATGTAGAAGCACCATATTTCACTCACAGATATATAGTAAAGAACACTAGTATTTAATTAAAATTTTGATTTACTTTGAGTCATTATTCCAGTTCTAGCAAATTTTTGGATGTATTAGTATAATTTGTGTTAGCAATAAAAAATAAATTCATTTCATTTAAATTCATTTGTTTCAAATTTGCAATATCCATTTTTTTTTGTAGTTTACTTGTTTAATTTATGTTTTGTTTTTCATTTCATTGAATTTGAACTTGAGTATGTTTGAAATATTTTACAACTGCATATAAATATACACATGCTTTGTCCTAAATTACTTACCAGCAATGCTTATGTTACTTCTGGGTGCACACTATATCGTTTATTTAATTGCAAACCTCTCTATTAAACAACCAAACAATAATTCTACTACCAACATACACGAAAAGATCGAGCAAGTAAAGGAGGAGGGCCCCTAAGGCTGGTTTTTGTGTTAATTTATTTTTGGCTAAAAAAATCTGAAAAATTTTTTTTAGTACCTACTAGCAATACTGAATCGTTTCCACTCTAAACCGACCAACCCCCTCACCCTCCTTTCCCCCTCCACCCCCCTTAAATGAGATGACACATTTACATTGAATAAAATGAAAAAGAAAAAATCAATAATTATACATACATGTTTGTGCATATTTCATTAGCCACTTTGAATTTCGTGATTCTGAATTCATAATTGTAATCAGTGATCCAAGAAAGTTTCTATAAACAAATATTTGAGAATTATGAAGATTTTTTTAAATTTTTTTGTCTGCCATATGGAATACGTCATTTTGAATGTCGTAATTCTGCCTTCAGATTCGTAATCAGAGACCCAAAAAACCACACTACACAAAAATTTATGCATTTTAAAGACATTTTAATTTTTTTGCCCGCCATATTGAATTTCGTGATTTAGAGTCCAGATTCGTAATCATAGATCCAAAAAACCCCTTTACAAAACAATTCATGTATTTTGAAGTCATTTCAATTTTCTTGTCCGCCATATTGGATCTGCCATTTTGAATTTCGTGATTCTGAGACCAGATTCGTGATCAGTGACCCAAAAAAACTCTTCATATGTAAGATTCATAGGAATTGAATGACTTTCGCATCTCTTTAAAGATTCCTCTAGTAAACGATGGTTTCCCCGGCATTTAAGGGGGTGGAGGGGGAAAAGAGGGAGAGGGGGTTGGTCCGTTTAGGGTGAAAACAATTATTTAATATTGCTAGCAGGTAGGTATCAAAAAAAAATTTTTCCGATTTTTTCAGCCAAAAATATATTAGGCCAAATACCGGCCTTAGGGGCCCTCCTCCTTTGTGTTCCCGTTGCATATTAGACCACTTCACTCATCTGCCTCTGTCACATCGAAAATCTGTATTCCGTTGAAACACTGGGTTAACATTAAATTAATTTGGATGTTGTTTAAATATACTTACTGTTTTCGTCAATAAAAGTATATTTGTAAAACATATTTGAGAAACATAGTATATAAAAATTATACTAGTTAAAGCCTTATTACTGTCTTATTAAAATTAATATTTTATTACAAAAATGTAACATAAAGTAATTCTAAAAATATTAGGTAATTAAAAATTAAAAATTGTATAGCATAAATATTTTTATACATGTACTGTGATATGTGCATCTTATAAGTCATCATACTTGGGTTCAGTTCCGGTTAATTTACATTCAGCCACTTTCCAAAATACTTCTGGAGGAGTGTATATTTCTTTGACAATAGGATAATCACGCATAGTTTTTCTCCATTTCCGAAGAAGTGGTATTTGATCATCCTTCACTGGTAATTTCGTTCCCTGTTTTATTTCTATACATTCTGTCTTTTCTGCCCAGGGCCACAGCATATAGTCGACCTAAAATATAAAATGAAAATGTAGAAAAATGTTATTTTCTTTTTGTAACATACCATTTCTGGTTTTTCTCCACCAAAAAATGGTGTTCCTCTTTGAGCTAGTGCATCTTCAAAATCTTGCAATGGAACTAAAAAATCTTTTAACCACTCCTCTGGAGTCTTTTTCATATCAGTAAAGACGCATTGACCAAAAACCTGAGTTACAGCTCCGATCTTGTTTATTAAATCCTTGTCACGTTTCTTCAATTCAGGCTTTACAGGATAAAGAGGGTTTTCAGGATATTTCTCATCGAGATAATCACTTATGTCGAGACTTTCAACAATAACCTTTGATCCATCAAGCAGAGCTGGTACTTTTCCTACATGTGAAAGAAATATTTAACTACATAGTCACAAATTATGTTTTCAAGAAATATTTAACAGTTTAAATAAATGGCTAGTATCAGATTATTTTTCTATTATTTATACAGGGAGTCCCAGAAAAATGGACTTAAAATAGGTAGATTTAGATTAATTCACCTATATCTGAAATCGCTTCATTTAGCAGCGGGATGGCCTCAAAAATAACTCAAATATGTATTAATCGATTGTGATTACTTTTGGGGTGTGGACTTCTGCTTTCAATCTACAAATTTTGGTGTCATAGTGTTTTTTAAAACTCACAACTACAAAATTGATGTATGGTGATAACCCTTCAAAACTTTTTCCTCTTTCTGACAATAACGACAACTATTTTTTATTTGATAGGTGATAGTATTTGGAAGTTTTTGGGCCTCTTATAGAATTTTGAGTAAATGAGCGGTTTGGATACAAAAAAATATTTTTTAAATATCTACGTTATCTTGCGAGCCATATTACAATACAAAGTGCTAGTAATCATTGAATTTTCTAGGTTGACTGCAATTTCAGTTTGATCTTTAAGTCATATTAATTGGCCATTCTTAATGAGTGTTTACTACGATAAGATATACCAGACGTTACTTAATTTTTCGATATGGATACACACATATGACGAATTAAGAGTTATTTACATGCCTAATTTTATTAAAATAATTCATAAAAACAATCAAATAGAATAAAAAATGCTGGAGATAAAAGTAACAAAGTTGATGTTATTAAATTTAGTACAACTTATTATAATAACTGTTCAAAATGACCACCATTGTTTCTACAACAAAGGTTAATTCGGCGAAGAAAGTTAAAGGACACCCTTTGCAGTTCTTAAGGGCTATTTTTAAAAACATTTATGGTGTTTTGCATATGCCTTCACAACTCTTAATCAGTGTTAGATGTGGAAGCATGTACTGTTGTTTTCAGAGTGCTCCACACATAACAGTCGCAAGGTGTTAAGTCTGGTGAACGTACAGGCCTGATAACAGAATTATCCCTCTACCGACCCATCAACGAGGGAATCTTTGGTTCAGATACTGCCGGACATTTACAGTGAAATGTGGTGGACACCATCATGCATAAACCACATGTTAGCTCTGATTAATAACGGCACATCAATAACTCGGGTTTTGCAAAAATTCTAAATAAATTTCCCCATTCAGTCTATTGGGTAGAATAACAGAGCCAATAATAATGCTATCAATGATCCCAGACCAAACACTGATGCGAAATTCATTCAGATAATATTTCACTTTGAGAGCATGTGGATTTTCTTGAGCATACACATGTTCATTGTGAATATTTATTATTCCGCTTCTAGTAAAACTGAATTGGCAGGTACAATGATTTAATTACAAGAGAATGCATACATTTAAAAAATATTTTTTTGACCCAAACCACTAATTTAATCAACATTCTACAAGAGGCCCAAATACTTCCAAATGGTATCACCTCTCAAATAAAAAATAGTTATCATTATTGCCAGAAAGAGGAAAAAGTTGTGAACACTTTATAAAACCTAAATATGTAGATTAAAAGCAAAAGTTCACATCCCAAAAATAATCAAAATCGAATAATACGTATTCGAGTTATTTACAAAATCCAAAAAATTTTCACGATCTTTGAGGCTACCTATAGTAGGATCGTATTCGATGCAAAGTAGAGCAAAAAGTTGTCGGTCTTTTATCAAAGGAAAATTGTGTCATCATTTTTAGGAGGCGTAAGATAAATCATTTCAAATTTAAAATGAAATTCAATGTAAAATCTGAAATACCGCTGCATACGCACTGTGTTCTGGTAGTAGCTGTAGTCGCCCAGGTGCATCGAGTGTACGAACTCGTCGGTTATACGTCAAATACTAACCTGGCGAGCTTTGCCGTCAATTAGAGAGCGCTTCCAAAAAACAAGTAAACAACAGTGGCGCGTACAGAGTTAAAATGTAGTACATATGTGGAATTTAGGAAACAAATTGGATTTATAATAAATTACATTTAAAATAAATAGTTTATGAGAATAAAGGAATTTTTGTAGGAACAAGAGTGCCAGACCTGAACTAATCCCCTCGTCCCTTCATAATGTATAAAGAAATTATTCAATTTGTAAAACCCTTAAAAGCGTACTTCATTGGTTCCCTTGAGAGGCAATGATTTATTACTTTGCATCGAATATGATCCTACTATAGCGGCCAAATGAAATGATTTCGGATATAGGTGAATTAGCCTAAATCTGCCTATCTTGAGTCCATGAATCTGTGGTCTTCCCTTTTACACGTGATTCTGAGAGACCCTGTATATGTACACATTCTTTTATAAATTCATTAATTTAAAAAATATATTAAGATAAATATAACCAATTCATAAAATCGTAATATTTAAAAATAGTCTATGAACAATAATAGTGCAGTATAAAAAAATTTACCTTCTGGATGAATTTTAAAGTACCATTCAGGTTTTTTGATCAAATTTATATTCACAATATCATGAGGAATTCCTTTTGCATTTAGAACTAATCTAGTCCTTTGGGCAAAAGGACAAAACTTCATGGAATAAAGTCTCAATAGACCTTCAACTCTGGGAGGCTCCTGAGAACCTATAAGGAAAAACATTATAATATTATGTACAAAAAAACATAATTTATCCTTTATTTTCATTTATTTATGTTCAAATACATAATAAAATAAAAATGAATTTACTATTCACCTGTAGTTAAATGAATGGAGGACATTTTATACAGACAGCACCTGGTATTTTTTCTCTGTGAATGAAATTGCAATAAAGGAATTAATTCATTTTATTAAGTTATCTTTTGTTATCTTTTTTTTAGCATGTCATGGGCATTTAAACTGATTCAATTTTAATAATTAGTTGTTTATTGTAAGATAAAGTATCATGACTCGACATTTTAAAATTCTTAAGTAAATAAGATAAACTCTTATCACTTATATGTATCAATAATTTTTAAAAATCAACATTGTTTTCACTTTTGACTATCTCCAACTTTTTGGGTTTTGGCGCCTTCCACTCTGTACTTTAATGCTTGATTTCTGGGTCATATTGAAAACACCACGTTTCATCACGTCCCAATGTTGTAAAGGAAATTTTTGCCTTTTTTGGCCTCCTTCATGATGTCCTCCGACTGTTGAATTCTGAGCAATTCAGTTTTGGTTGTCAGTCAAATTATGCGGAACAAACCATACACACACTTTTCAGTAGCCTAAATGCAATAAATTAATGTTTTTGTGATTGCAATTCCATGAATTTCAATTAAGATTTTGGCTGATCTTTGATGAATTCACAAACAGTTTTGATGGAATCTGTGGTGATCACGGATTTCAGTTAGTCAATATACCCATGACACAAAAATTATAATGCTATGTATGTATAAAAAATCATAATAGATCATTACTTAATTAGTATTCACCTGTAGTTAAATGAACAGAGGACATTTTGTAACAAGACCTGGTCGCTGCGAATTAAGTTGCAATTAGAGAATGAAACCATGACATTACATATACAGTTTTGTTTTCTTTTTTTTTAGCAAGTCATGTGCATTCAATCTTGAAATCTTGAAGTGATTTTTATAGTTTATTGTAAAACGAAGTGTGAATATTTATTAAATCATAAAATTTCCAGTTTCAACATCTGAACGATATTTTTGGAAACCACTGGATTGGTAGAGGTGGTCCAATTGCGTGGCCGCCTCGTTCCCCAGATATAACACCCATAGATTTCTACCTCTAGGGACATGTGAAAGAGCTTGTTTATAAAACTCCTGGCACTTCAAGGGAAGACCTTTGGCAGCGTATATCGGACACATTCGCTTTAATTCGCCGAGATGTAGGGATATTTCGACGAATTAGAAAGACCATCAAAAAATGAATTCGGGGTTGTATTCGAGCTGAAGGTGGATACTTTCAACATTTCCTATAAAATGTTATATTATGTGTATCGAGTTATTTATTGTAGGTACGTTTACAATTCATAATTAATTCTAGATGAATAAATAATAATAATTGTTTATTTTAATATTACATTTAAAATACCGAAAACTCGAGAGAAAACGAAAAAATAGTAAGTCAACTTTGATCAAAATTGAGCTAGAGTTTAAGCCATGTAATTATAAATTAGAAATCTCAACGGAGAACCAATTTTTTTTATTAAAACGAAGGGCTTGCAAGTAAGTCCTCTCTTGCAATTCATGTTCAACATAATAATACCTAGGAATGTGTATTCGGTTGTAACCACAGTTAGTTGTCCAAATTTCATTTAATTCCCTCAAGTGGAAATCTAAACTTTTGGAAAAAAACATATTTTATAACTGACAATCTGTAGCTAAGGAACGAAGCGAAATCGGTCCCATGTTGATATGAATTATGAGCATTGGCCCATGTTATCTGAAACACCGTGTATACTTGATACTTACTACTATTAATAGTAGGTACTATTACAATTCAGAAAAATATACAGGATGTCCCGAAATAAGGGGGCACTATTTCTACAGGGTGTTCTATGTCGAAAAAGATCTTTGGGGGTCCAAAAATTCTTCCTATGGAAGTTGTAGCCACTTAAAGAGGCCACTCTGATGATGATTTTTTCTAAATAACTCCGAAACCAGTTGAGATAAATTTATGAAATTTGGTAGCTAGCTTAACTCTTACATGCTCAGTCCCCTACTGAAACAAAATTTACAAATTTTCACGACATACGTTTCAAAACTGAGGGGGAGGGGAGGTAAAATTTACCATAACTTTTTTATGCTTTGACTTTTTTTACTTTTGACTGAAAAGTATTAAATTTCAGTTTTTTAGTAAAAAAAGGCAAAGATTTTATTATTGTATGGAAGCGAACCAATTTGGACACTTAATAAAATAACATTCTTTCATTCATTGATATTTTGTCTTATTCTTTGTGTTGATTTTATTGTCATATCCAACACAAAATTTAAAAAATCGTGTCGTCGTGGGTGGAATTGAAAAAGTTTTAAAATAACTTGTCACTCAACATAGGATGCAATTTAAAGTTTAAAGGTATTTTACCCCCTGCCTAAGAGGTAGCTTCCAAGACACCAAACCTTATGCCATCATGTGCCCCCCTTGAAAAGAAAATCAGTCTCAGGTTCTTTGTTTTTTTTTTAATTCCGATATTTTCCAGGTGGGAAGTTTTAATTGAAACACCCTGTATATATGATCCTGTGTACTTGATAGAATGTCATCTCACAGCTACAAGGATTTGGTGGGCCTGATGGAGGAAAGGATATTAATATTATATGAAGAACAAAGAATGCATTTGTACCTAATTTATTTGATATGCTGCACATTTAAATACTCAAAAATTTTATAAATATCACATTCTATTAAATTTATACTCATATAAATAAAACATATCATCAATATTTGTATACAGAGTGGTTCATAATAGTATGCCTCAAAATAAAATAAGGTGACATGAAAATGTATTAAAAACAACATGATCTAGTAATAAACATTGAAAATAATGAAAATTATCTGAAGTCAATCGGGCTTATTTATGGTGGTGTGGCCCTACAAGGTCGGAACATAAAATTTGAAATTTTTTAATAACTTTGGAATGGTTGAAAGAAAAATCTAAAACTTACTGGTGCACTACAAGCTATTATAGGTCAAAACTTTTCGGTAGTGTAGAAAAAAGAACCAGTGGTGTAGATGTGGGTATATTGGTATCGATATTAAATCACTTTTTAATATAAAAACCTTACCTACCATTTATTTCAAACTATTTGTATTTTAATATCTAAAGCCTACTAATTTGTGCAGTAACATGTTGCTATTTTACTGCAGAGATATTTAAAACTGTAATTATTTAAAAAACCATACCACCATCCCTTCAACTGAGAATTTACAATTTTTTTATGGATAAAAGATTATTATTTCCAATAGTTGTATAGTAATTAAACAAAAAAAATTATAAAAATGGTTTAACAATGTAACTATTTTATTTTTTCAGCAATATCATTAAATTATGCCCCACATCAACATGTACAGCATCTGCAATTTTCTGTTTCACATTTCCAAATTACTGAGGAATTTCAAATTTTATTTTAACACTAAAACTTTGTAGGTAAGCCCAATTGACTAAGTTTACTTAAAAAAAAATCCCTCACTTTTATAAATCTAAATAATGAATTTATGTATTGTGTATATAATTTATAAAATTTGTACGATTGTAAAAATTAAAAAAAAAAATAAATAAATAATTTTGAAATTGCTGTAAAAAACATAATTTACCCTCAAATTGTGATTCTACATATACAGTCAAAACAATTAAAAAACTCCTTTTAGATCTGCATGTTTCTGCCATCTAAATCTCTTCAAATTAAGCATAAAATACACTGGGACACTAATTATAATATAAACAGAAAATTATTTTAGTTCTCTTCCCTCTAAGATATAAAAAAGTAGACTAAGAGAAATGTAAAAATATGGAATACTCCTGTTGATTACACAGGTCAACATTTGATCTAGGGAAAATTGTCAGAAGTGACTATACTATATAGGGATTTTTTGAGTCACTGATCACGAATCCTAGGTCGGTTAAGCTCCATCACATCAGGTTCAAGATGATTTGAATGTCAAATCAAGAAACGACCTCCAAAAAATCTGAAAAAAGTCATGCTTATGTTTTAGAGGTCACTGAACCCAAATCCGAGGATTCTTTACCCCTACGATACACCCTAGAGGCCATTTCAAGGTCATTCATGAAGTATTTTGGACAGAAAAGTTAAAAACAGTGTGAAAAATTTGAAAAAATTCGTCTGAATGTTTTTGAGGTCACTGAACGCGAATTCAAGGTTGTTTAAGCTCCATCACGTCAGGTTCAAGATGATTTGAAGGTTAAATTTAGAAAAAGTTGTGTAAAAAAATTTAAAAGTGTATTGAAGTGTTTTCGGGGTCACTGAGTTGATCTGCATGTTATTAAAGGTCTTCAAAGGGTTTCCATCTGTCTACGTATAACTATCTACACGTTTGTATGGAGATATAGTCTCTTTTTCTGATGGTTTACTTTCGTTCTACTATTCTGATTAAGAAAGTTGGCATATGACTATCCCATACGCTAACATGGTCAAAATGAATCGTCCTCTGAATGACCTCGGTACAATAGGTAAGTCCGTGTAGACGAAAATAACAGCGAATTCGAACTTAGTCGATCCAACATCACTTTACTGTATCTTTTCTGAATTTTTACAAAACTTTTTCTCAATTTGCCCTTCAAATCACCTTGAACCTGACGTGATGGAGTTTAAATAGCCTTGGATTCACGTTCAGTGACCTCAAAAAACGTATTTTACTCCCAAAAACGAAGCAAACCTCTCTTGGACGGACACGAGCGACAGAACAAGAAGAATACAGAATCTGCTACCCAATTGGGAAAAACGATTACCTAATATTTTAGATGTGATTTATTTCATAAATTCAGCATGGCAGCAAGTATTGATACAATTAAAAATTGTTATTCTGAAAATGCGGCTGTTGACGGGATGAAGAGTTTGATGTAGAAAATAACACACCGAAATAACTACATTCTCTAGATTTGTAAGACAGACAGGTGCTGACTTGGTAGATCCAGAGGATTTTATTTTATTTGATAAACATTTATATGTAGAATAAGATTTTAATGCAACAGAAATTATGACTATAAAAAAGGAAACCGTGGAAAACGAATATTTTGATGATGACGAAGATGTGGATATTGTATTAGAAGAAGGCAATATTAACACATGCTGGAACTCAAAAGTGTATTGAAGATTTGAACGTTTTTGCTGTGATGGTAAATGTTTAGAAACGTTAATGTTATTACAAGAACATGTTATAGAAAACTCTCATATATTAACTATGATCAAATAAATGTTAATAACGGATTATTTTAAATAATATATAGGTATGTACTCTCTACTATATGTTTGCGTTATATTAAAATTTGTGTTATTTTTTGTTTAAGTTATATGTTTATATTGTATTTATTTTTACATCATGTTGTACCTTTTTTATCATCTCTCTTTTAAGCAGACACCTCTCTAGGCGGACAAAAATAGTTCGACCGTTGATGTCCGCTTAAGGGAGGTTTCACTGTACTTATGAACTTGAAATGACCTTGAATGACCTCTAGGGTGTATTGTAGGGGTAAACAAACCTCGGATTCGGGTTCAGTGACCTCTAAAACATAAGCACGAATTTTTTCAGATTTTTTGGAGTTTATTTCTTGATTTGACCTTCAAATCACCTTGAACCTGATGTGATGGAGCTTAACCGACCTCGGATTCGTGATCAGCGACCCAAAAAACCCCTATATACAATAGTCACTTCTGATGATTGTCCCTAGATCAAATGTTGAACTGTGTTATTATTTTACACATTACAATACTGTCGATCAAATGTCATTTTCGAATTTATTTTGGACTGATTACATTATGGCCAACGAAATTTCAGGTTGCTGAGGTTTTATTGCTGGTAAAATTATATACATTTACAAGTCTTGCACCATTGGGCAAAAAAATAAAAATAAATGTTATTTTTCTAAACTAAGGAAAAGAACAGTAACATTACAAACAATATCTACAAATTAAAAAAAAACTTTATGCTCATGAAAAGTAACTTTAAATTCTACTTGACTACATGGATCAACCAGACATTTTAAATTTATCTTTGTGTATGTTGACTTTTTCCTGACAGTTAAGGGGGTAATAATAACCTCTGTGTAATGAACCTTTTTACAAACATTACGACATGTAAGGACCACAATTTAAGTTACATCACTTAATCACACATCGTGACATATCAAGAACGTAACAAAAGTAAGTTTTAAAGATTTTTGCACAGACAATATAATTTTAGTCTTCAGAGTAGAAACTCTAACCTAAAGCCATTAGATTTTACGCGATGCTGATTAAGCCACGTAACTAGATTTTGAATAATAGCAGGCTACGGATTGTCAGCAGCATCATCATAATTGATTCAGCAAATACATCTAGAAAGCCACTATACCGGGTGTCCCGAAATTAATGCAACAAAATTTGTCCCAGATTCTTAAGAAAAAGAGTGACTGCAAAAAAGCCATTTTTTCGCCTGTTTTTGAGACTTTAACAGAAGCGACATTGAAAATCCTAAAAATATTCTAAAAATATCCAAATACTCGTAATGGAAAATGAAAATGATCATCACTTTCAGTTTTTCGAAAATTTTCGAAAATCACCCTTATTTAGGGGTTGAAAAGACAAAAAAAGTGAACAAATTAAGAATCATCAACAGTTGTAAAACCCCAAATATTTCTATGTTGTTGTCAAAATAATATTATAAACGTGGAAATATCTAATTTCGTATTTGATACGGTCTTGTCCGGATTGAAAATCAACCCACATCCCTAAAGGGCTGAAATCATCCCCTAAACGCCTAAAAATGCCAAAATATATTAAAAGTTACAATTCTTTTTCTTTTATGCATGATAATTGAACTGTTAATAATGAGGGTAAAACCACCCCTAAGTTCAACCATCGGCTTCAAAGTACATAAAATAATTATAATGCATGAAAAAAATAATGTTTCGAAATACATTCATTAGAATAATTTATACATAAGTACTCCCATACCCCCAAATCATCCCTCTCAAGGGGTGAAATCATCCCCAAATATACAAAAATTGTAGATAATGTGAAAAAATATTATTTTGATAACAACATAGAAATATTTGGGGTTTTACAACTGTTGATGATTCTTAATTTGTTCACTTTTTTTGTCTTTTCAATCCCTAAATAACGGTGATTTTAAAAATTTTTCGAAAAAATGAAAGTGATGCTCATTTTCATTTTTTATGATGAGTTTTTGGATATTTCTCTGTCAAAAGTCACTCTAAGAGATCCGTATTTTTAGTTTTGCCAAGTGACCCTCTTTTTTGGAGGAAAAATTTGGTCACATATTTAAATTTACTAAATATTATTAGTTTGCTAGAAAGCCATTGAATTTAGAAACTTTTTTGTCTACTGATATTTTTTCGTAAAACGCAATATTTGCGAGAAAAATGGTGAATCAAAGTTGCATTCGATCACATTTTGCCTTTTTTCTCAAAAATATTGTGTTTTACGAAAAAACTAATAATTTTTAAGAAATTTAAATAAGCGTCCAAATTTTTTTGGCTCCAAAGACAAGGGGGTCCACGAAAAATTGTCTTAAGGGAATTCTCCGCCAAAAAGCGTAGCATTATCAAATTTCACATGTCATAAAATCCCTGTGTACCAAATTTAGTGATTCTCGTACAGCGGGGTTCTGAGATATAAAAAAAAACTATTCTTAGAGGCAGATTTCAGGGGAGCACTTGGCAAAAATAAAAAATATGGGTCCCATATATTTGTCTTAAGAATCTCTGACCAAAATCCAATAATATCATCTTGCTCATATCGGTAAGTCGCTTTTTTCTTAGAATCAAACGAAAGAGTGTGTAGGTTTTGAAATATTATATCGGTATCAGTAAGTCATTGATTGCGTTTTTTTTTTTTGAGGTCTCCATAGAGCTTGCAGCACCCCTGAGCCCACCCCAAGCAAAAATCCTAGCTACGCCCATGAGCGCTCTCTATCTACAACGAACTTTATAATGTTGAGCAGAATTTAATACACATTTTAAAAATAACAATTTTAATACCTGACATCACATTTAAAAAATATTACAATATATCAATGTCGATTCTTGATGTACTAATTAATTTTAATGGAAATAAATTGAACAATGTTCAATCGTATTTAAAAACCTGTTATATTTTCCACAACAATAATTTAATTGCAAATTTTTCCAAGTAGGAAATTATTTATACGCAAAAATAAATTTAAAAAATAGCATCTGGCTAATCCTTTTTGTTTCACGCTACATTTTATTTTCCAAATTCGTAAAAAAAAATTAAATAAGTTTCTAGATGAAATTATACAAGTCACTAATCAGAATCCTCTGCTAAATCTGCGTCCATGTCACTGTCTATATCTGAAACAACGTGATACATAACGTCAATATTGTTATTATCGGGCTCTTCTTCTTCATCAGACATTATCGGAAATTCCAAAATTTTTTTAGATTTCTCTTCTTTTATTGTTATAGTTGAAACATCATAGTGAATATTCCTTGCGCGTTGCTTGGATAAAGTCAACCTTGGCCATTCGACATAATTTGCTTTAGTTAATGTTGCTCTTATTTGTGGACCCATAGCTGTATGCTGAAGGGAACTTACTTTTTGGTATAACATGAGATTAAGCTTATATGTTTTCTCATTTTTCACAGTCCTGAAAACACATTGTATCCAAGATAAGAATGTCTATCATGGGGTTATCAAAATCTATAAAAGACGCAGGGTGGCCCAATTTACAAAAAGTGTAAACAGATCTCAGAAATATTTTTTACTTCTTGCGATATTTTGGGAAAAAAGATATGAACGTAATTAAACCAACATAAGCATCACATCAATTTAAAGAGGATCAGGTGCTTCACTTACCGTGTTAAATAATCATTGCTGCCAATGCAAAGAAAAATATTCTTTACGACTAGAAAGTAAGTAGGTTGAGATACTCGCTTGTAGATATTGAATAAAATCGAGTTTAAAATACTTATAATTATATATTTCCATCCTTCAATTATTATTTTTTACCCAATATGCATAAATAAATGCCATGAGTTTCAATAGGAACTTGACAACAGCGCACAAGTATACCGAGTTTATTATTTGTAAGTTGGCAGTTCTCGTCATGTATACAGGGTGTTTCTAAAATAGGGTTCCAAACTTCTGCTGCGTTTATAACTCATTAAAATAAGCCAAAATTCCTATTAACATGTGCCCTAAAACGCACCCGTAGGAAGTTATATGCCCTTAAAAGGGTTCAAACAAAACTGTTTTTTATTCTGTTATTGACAAAACAGTCGCAAATAAATAGAAACAAATTTATGGGTCTTACATAACTTTTTACGTTAAATAACATGGGCTATTCCGTTTTTCGACATACAAATCATATGCGTCCTATTTAGGTTGGTGAAGGGGGTTTTCGGCCCGTAATTTTTTTTATTTCAATTTTTTTACAATTTTCTCTACAGATTTATAAAATCTTAACAATTCTACGTAAAAAATATTATCTTTGTCCAAATCGATATTTCCAATGGTTTTCGAGTAAATTGAGTTTGAAAATTACTCTGCTCTTTAAGTTATTAGGCCAAAAATTACAAAAATCTGTTTACCATGGCAAATAAAAGACTGACGTTGCCACAACGCTTAACAATTTAAGTTATTGATAAACTGTCAATTGAGCTTTGCAGTGTTTAATTAGTAAAAGTGGTGAGTGGAAAATTTAAGTATACAACATTATTGCAACTCATAAAATGGAGTCATATTCAAACACGAAAATGGCAGAGCACATGTTAATGCTTATTTTAATGAGTTATAAACGCAGCAGAAGTTTGGAACCCTATTTTAGAAACACCCTGTATAAGTATGCTATATGATCGCTCGCAGAGCTGATTGCTTTAACCTATAAAATATCGAATAAGATATAAAATATAGGAAATATGATGCATTTCTGCATGAATACAAATGTTCCTTATAAGACATGAGTTTAAAGCGATTACCTTTATGAAAGTATAATACAGCCAAAAATATTCTAAAAAATATACTGAAATTATTGAAATATTAATTGTAAAATGAAAAATGGTATTAAAAATGTCATAACTTATCAAAATGCATACAATTCTTATTAGGCAATCCAAACCACGTGACAAAATCGGAATTCAATATGGTGTCGAGGGCAAACATTTGTTTGATTCATATAAACTTTGTGTGCTTTGTTAAGAGTTTGCGTTTGCGTTTTGCTTGGCTTTGTTTTTTTCAACTTTGACTGTATAATGAGTGTTTCGTGGATTGTAGTTAGGCGTCTTTGTTGTTGTCAATCAATATGCAGAGTGATTATTTAAAGAAGCTAATATAAGAATATTAATTAATGTAACGTTAATGTGTAATTATAATGAAAAATACATAAATTAAGGAATTGGAATGTATTGATATCATTGTAAAAATTATTGATAATTTTTCTTGATTTTTAAAAAGTATAATTCCATTCTATTTTCGCTTGTATTTTCTAGTAATTTTCTTCTTTTATATATCCATGTTTGGCGCCGTTTTCTCGATAAATCATTTAAATGAGGAAAATATTTAGAATTCACTACGTCAGGTAAACAGTGAAAGCTAACTTGGTCTCGATTTCCACAACTTCCACAACCCACTACTATGCACGTTACCGGCATTAGTAATACATATCGTTGCGGCACAATTCAATAAAAGACGAGTTGAACACTTCCTTAAATAAAATACATGAATAATTCCTTACAAAACACTCCAATTAAACGCTTTTAACTAAAAACTTCTGGACTGACTTCAATGCATTCTCAATGTAAACATAACTTGTTTGCCATCAGCGACATATTGCTTCAAAAATTTGACAGGTCGTTGGATATGCGCTATGATGCAAAGTATAAATATTTCATTGTTTATATGCTGCTGTATTTTTTACTTCTCGTATTGAAAGTTTATTGTACTTTATAAATAAAAAAAGATTTCAAAAAATTTCATTTAAAAATTTCCCATTTTATTTTATATTTATATTTCAAATTGAATTATACAAATACACAAGTTGAATGTAATCCATTTTTAATGACTAATTTGTAATCAAAACATTTATTTAAATTTCACGCTACCTATCCTCATTCATACTCTACTGCGTTGTTGCTGTTACTCCTTCGCGTTTATTACTTGCCACATAGGGGTCGTCCATTAATCACGTGAGGTTTTTAGGCCACTTTTTTACACCTTCCCTCCCCCCTGGTGAAACGTGGTGAGGTTGTAAGCTACCCCCCCCCATCACGTGTATTTTTTTTGTTAAAAAAAACTTCAATATTTTCAGAATATTTTTTTATTAAAATCAATAAAAAAAAACAGTGTTACTTATTGTGATGTCCTATCGCAGCTCACAGCAAGGCATTCTCGGGCATGGTTGCGCAAAAATATACATGTAATATGTAACAACAACCCCACCTCCCCTATTGTGATGTGAGCAATAGTGATGTTATCTAAAGCCCCCCCACACCTATTTGGACCTCACGTGATTAATGGATGATTCCATAACAAGTCAGAATTTTTAATGTTTGATAATTTATTTCTCTGTGAAATGTGCGGCAACCCACTTTTTCTTTCTCTCAGCTATTAATTAATGATTCAGACAAATGTCTATATTTTTTTCATTTTACTTTTTGCATTTTTTCACCTGTAATTCGATTGTAATGTAAGAACCACAAGAACCTATGTCAAATATTCAAATTTTTGGCATTAATTAAAAACGCATTGCAAAAATAATATATTTCAATTATACGAAAGTGGCTGCATTTTTTCATAACACCCAATCCTCCTTATGCGAAAATAAATATTTAAAAATTATGTAATTTACCGTATTTAAAAAAATTGAAGTTGATGATGGTACTCTGAAGAAGAAACATTTAATTATAAAACTGATACATTCATGAAAAAGTACTGAAAAAATAAAAAATAAAAATCAAAAAATATTTATTTTTTTTTAAATACCTTGAAAACCAAAAAATATCTACTTAATAATCATTTCAATGGTCCCTTAATGGCACAACTTTTTTCAAATTTCAAGTACCCTGCGTCATTTACTATATAATGAAATAATGGGGGAAAATAAAAGCTATTCCAAAAATTACGGAATAACTTTTTTTTAAATTGGATAGTCTTGAAAAACTTTTTAAATATTCCATATTAACAATATTTTGTATTAATTAAATAAATAGGAACAATAACAAAAAGTATGCAGGCTCTTACAAATTCACTTCTCATTACGGGGATCTCGAAAACGGTAGGAGATATGAAGTAGCATAAATGGGGGCAAAGTTGCGTAATTAGGGGACCAACATTATGCCTCTAAAAAAAAATCAAGGCTAACTTGATTAGTTTTCGAAATATTTAAAAAAAAACGAAATTTTGAAAATCCGTTTTTGTTTCATTTCAACGTTGTTTGAGGTGATATTGAAAAAAGAACACTTTCTCATGGCAACTTTTTGTCCTTTTTGTAACGTTTCGTTTTTCCAGGACCATCATCAATTTCATTTTTTTAAATACGGCTCTGGAAATTTTGTTACATTTTCTGCAAACCTTCATGACCTCCAATACTGTACTGCCTCAGCCCGAACCAGATTCAGACGTTTTGTCAAGAAACGTTCATCATCGATGTATTCGTACCAAATTTATTAAAATTATTTTATTAGGTTACTATGTTTATTGAATTATTGTACACTTTAAGTGTCATTAGTCCCTGTGAAATCCACAATTATTTAAACTATTACCACCACCCATTACAATAAAACATTATTAGAATTTTAATCCCGTGCCCATAGGCACTAGGCACTCTAGACTTCTCGAGTGCCCCAAATTCAAATTCCAATCTAATTTTTCTCAGGATATTCATACAAATACATCTGACATGCTCTTTCACAGTTGTGGTTACAGGTATAATAAATTCCGATAATATTACGCTTATCTTAATTTCCAACCTTCGCCAAAACGGGAACGTTTTTGAACATTTACTGCAATTTTTTAAAGTATAATATTCAGTTGGAGTTTTGGTCGTTCATTTTCATTTTTAAGAATTAATTTGTCATAATGAAATTAAAATTGTAATGTTTTAATTTTGACGCATCAACTTATTGACTTATGTATGACCAGGTGATGGTAATAGTTAATAATAATAAATGTTTATTGTAACGCATGGTGGTAATAGTTGGATTTTACAGGGTCTAATGACACTTACAGTTACGATAATTCAATAAACATAGAAATCTAAATAAAAAAATTTAGATAAATTTGGAACAAATACACTGAAGATGAATTTTTCGAGACAAAACATCTGAATCTGGTTCGGGCTGAGGCAATACAATATTGGGAGTTATGAAAGCTCGCAAAAAATGTAATAAAATTTCCAGACGTATTTAAAAAATGAACTTGATGATGGTCCTGGAAAAACAAAACGTCACATATAAAATTTGATTATGCCGTTTGATGGAGGGCAAATAGTTGCCATGAGTAAGTGATCTTCTTTTTTCCCTCAAACAATTTTGGTTTTTTTCAAATATTTCGAAAAGTTAATCATGATTTTTTAGAGGCATAATGTTGGTCCCCTGATTGCGGAACTTTGCCCCCATTTAAGCTAGTTCGTATCTCTTACCATTTCCGAGATCCCTGTAGTGAGAAGCGAATTTGTCACAGCCATATATACAGGGTGTTCCTAAATAAATGTCGCAACGGAAAACTGTAAATTCCTCTTGAAAAATGAAACATTTTTTTCTCTTCCATTTTTCTCTCTGGGCTTTCGTTTTCAAGATACACGGTGTAAAAATTTTTATTTTTTTTTTTAGTTTTTTGCGAATATCTTAGGAACCGTTTGAACTACAGGACTAAGCTTTTTTACACATATTACCACTAATAGTAGCTACTTTTTCGCACCCTTCTCGAATTCATTGGACATGCCAGTGGTGTAGAGTATAAGGTATTGTAAGGGTTTTAACTAACTTTTACGCCAATGGAAAAATTGACATGTGACAGCAAATTCTGAAGCGCCAATGAATTTTACACAAATAGAGTTCTCTTGGTTCATTGCTCTAAAGTCAACCGTTTTCAAGAAAAATGACTTTTTATGAACAGAAACAAACATTTGGCTAACGTTTTTAAAATTTTTTGTAATTCGAAAAATAGGTAGTAATAATTAACAATTGTAATGAAATTTAACAGATAGGATTTTAACTTAAAAAAATTTAAAAATAATATTTTATCACTTTAACAACTAAAATTTACAAAAACTGTTCAAAATTATGTCCGTTGGCTTGAATGCACGCATTACATCGTCGGATCATGTTTCTATGAACGTTGCTCATAATTTGAAGAGTATTTCTAATTTGTTCCGCCGTTGTTTCAACCTAGCGGTCAATTCTTCGATCGTATTGACAGACTCCATAAGAAATAATCAAGTGGAAATAAATTTGGCGACTGACGAAGTTTTGACACCGTGTATCTCGAAAACGAAAGCCCGGAGAGAAAAATGGAAGAGGAAAACAATGTTTCTTTTTTCAAGAGGAATTTACAGTTTTCCATTGCGACACTTATTTAGGAACACACTGTAGCATGTACTAAAAAAATATATATACTTACTTGAAATGTAAAATTGTTCCTTTAGTTAAACTGAGGTTATATTGATCGGTATCATGTAACTTAATATCTATCTTGATATATTTCTCTGTTTGAGACCAGTAAACCTCGGGAGTACAATAATCAACTGCAGGGGCAGCTTGAATTGGAGGTAATTCACGATTACTTACTGATTTAACATCATTGTTAACAATAAGAAGCTGTAATAAAAAAAAAGTAGACTCTATACCCATTTTAAATTCAATTTATTACCGATTTGAAAAATTCTTCAGCGTTTATGAGGAAAAGCTCCATATCTTCGTTTACGGAGTCTTTCTCGGCTGACTGATCACCTAAAAAATAAATTTGATATTTCCCTAATAAAAATCGTTATACAAATATTTTTACCATTTACATGTACATTTTCTTCAACTTCTTTAGTTTTCCTACATATATCGATTATATGTTCTAATTCTTCATCCGATTCGTCGCTATTGGAATGAGCGGAGGAAATATAAAAATCGTCTATTTGTTCCGAATTCGGTACTGCAACACCGCAATCCACCAATAAAGTATTTATCAAGACATTTTTTTCTCCAAATCCATCTTTGAGCAGGACCGAATACCTGTTTTGTCTAGGGTTTATACTATTTTCTTCTTTACCGCAAATTTTAACGAAAAGCAACCTAAAGATATCCGAATCGGGTTCTGTGGCATATTTATATAAAATGTTATTGATGTCACTTTGCCACTCATCTAGTACGGGTTTGATACCCTGCAGTCTACACTGGATGCTTTGAAAGGGAAGTTTCGTAATGAATTTATTGTGAATATACTTCAAATCGGTGATGTCAACGACGGCTTCGTCGCCAAAATCTACGAAAAAGCACAGCGCCTTGTTATCTTCTACAATTTTTACTACTGTTCTGGCATAATCTAATCCTTCAGGATCTTTCGCAAGACAAATGGTTCCTATCTCGACATTTTGTAGTTTAGGATAATTCACTTTCTTTAAACTTGCCTGGATTTCTTTTTGCAAACTATATAACCTAAAAAAGAGTAAATTAGCTAATAGTGGAGTCAAGATAGATTTTTACTTCGCAAAAATTACGGGAAGAGAGAACTTTTTATTTTTCACTTTGTAAAGTTGTCAGAAACAACATATAAAAAGTTACCAACTGTAGAGTGTACGCTAAATTATTTATTTAACAAATTAGTTGCAAAATTACAGTTTTTGCAAAATATATAAAAAAATTTATTTTTTATTTTTTTTAAATTAACTTCACCATTCGAAAGAACAGGAAATTTTACATAAAAAATATTAATAAAGTTTTTTTCTAAAATGCGAATTTAAGGCTGTAAATTTTTTTTTCTAACGTACGAAAAATGAGAAGGGCGGCCCCCAAGTATAGCTCCCTAAGAGCGCGCGAACCCGAGCGCGCTACACTAAATTCGTTATAACTTTTGATCTAATTGATTAAATCGACCTCACAAAAATTTAAATGAAAGAAGAGTCATCCGGCTATCAAAATTTTATGTCTAAACTCTAAAATATGTATACAGGGTGTCTCATAATTAGCTGCCAACCCTGAACAGGCCGATTCTATGATCAAAACTAAGTAAAAAAGTTCATATGAACATGGGTCCGGAAATGCTTCCTAAGGGCACAGGGACCCATTGAAGAGGGAGGAATGGAAATCATTTTTTTGCAATATCTCTCAATCGCGTTGTGATAAATGAATGAAATTTGGTATACACAGCTATATTTTGATGAGCAATTTGATGGACTAATCCATTTATTTCCACAAGGTCCATTGGGGTGGGTACGGGGGGGGCCCTTAGTACTTTGCGTGTGTAACTTTTTCATCTTTGACTTTTTAACAAATTGGACAGCAAATTCCGTTTTCCCGAACTGTTTTACGTCAAAAAGGTACTCTTATTTCAAAATCAAATTAAATAAAAATTAATCCTTTAAATGGAAAAGAGAGGAAAGGAAAATTATTATTATTATTTTTTGTTTAAATTACTATAAAATTGACCAAAGTGGGATTAATTCAAGAGCGATTTTCTCAGAATCCGTTAAAGATAACGATTTGAAACAAGAGTACCTTTTTAACGTAAAACAGTTCGGGAAAACGGAATTTGCTGTTTAATTTGTTAAAAAGTCAAAGATGAAAAAGTTAAACACGCAAAGACCAAGGGCCCCCCCGTACCCACCCCAATGGACCTTGTGTAAATAAATGGATTAGTCCATCAAATTGCTCATCAAAATTTAGCTGTGTAAGTAGGTAATAGGGCACTTGAGCCTGGGAAAATTTCTAGGACCGTGGGAAAATTGAAACTTGTGTTTTTACCTAATTCCCAAAAATTTGGCCCTTGGCAAAGATCAAAGGATGCCGCCGACAGGTGTTAATTACAGGTGTGCAGCAGGGCCGACTTCGGCCCCTAGGACTTCGCCCCACTTGGGGCCCCTTCATAGGACTTTGCCCCCTAGGGCTTTGCCCCACCTGGGGCCACCGTCCCAGGTAGCCTCTAGGGCTTCGCCCCACCTGGGACCCCGCGCTTTGCCCCACCCCGCATAAGCTTTGCCCCGCGCGTCACCCTCGCGTAGTATTCCCCGCGTAGAGGGGCTTCGCCCCAAAGGGCCCCACGCTTCGGTGTTGGAGCGTGACAGGCGCTTATCAGTAGACGGGTCTAATAACGTCGTATACGTTTGCGGTGTGCTTGGCGTTATCGGTAGATGACGTCATTATCGCAACCTGCGGTGTACTTGGCTTTATCAGTAGACGACATCATTACCGTTCGCGGTGTACTTGGCGTTATCAGCGGATGTCGGGAGGATTCGTAACCTGCGGTGTACTCGGCGTTATTGGGGTCTGTATGATTAGCTAATCTGGCGTTTGCGGTGTACTTGGCGTTATTGGGGTCTAATAACGTCGTATACGGAATGATATATATAAACTGTAGGAGCCGAAATAGCGGCATGTGTTAAAGGAGGAGGGACATCCTTCTTCATCGGAATCTCAAACGTTCAAGACATATTAATAGTGTTACGTTATTTGTATTTAAAAAAAGCCCCACATATTAGTTTATTGCAATTTGGGTCTGGCAGATATGATAACAAGTAATGAGCGCTGTCCAGATGTGATAAGAAATATCGCGGACAGCAGGCGACCGTTTTAAAAACTGTAGGATGGTTTTATCATCATCCTGTAGACTGTTTGAAGCAAAAAATATTCATTTTTAAAAGCGAGTCTTTCTTTACATGATGTGCCGTTGTTCTGGTGTGTGTGTGTGCGAGTGATGTGTCCCTTGATTGATATATATATACGGATACCTTTGCAATAAAGAAAGGCAAGTTAACATACATTTTCTATATAAAAACTCCAGGTCGAAAATTTCCAGCCGAAAATAATAATTTTCCTATAATATAAATCATATCGTTTCAATTTCAAAATCTACAGTAGAATGAATATGCCTGAAACTTAGACTTTACAAGAAAATTTAACGAAAAAATTCCAGTAAAAATTATTTAAAGCATTAATCTTAAACTCTTAACGAAAAAATTCCAGTAAAAATCATTTAAAGCATTAATCTTAAACTCTTTACGAAAAAATCCAATTAAAAATCATTAATCTAAACTACATTAAAAACTTGGAACTATTCATAAAAATATCATATTATTTCAATTTCAAAACCCCGTAAATTTAATTAAAAACAGGAAAAAATATCAAAAGCTTCTAACTGAAAAGAAATCAGATAAAAATCATATCGTTTCAATTTCAAAAATTCCAGTAAAAACCATTAAAATTAATCTTAAACTCTTAACGAAAAAATCCTAGTAAAAATCATTTAAAGCATTATTCTTAAACTCTTAACGAAAAAATTCCAGTAAAAATCATTTAAAGCATTAATCTTAAACCCTTTACGAAAAAATCCAATTAAAAATCATTAATCTAAACTACATTAAAAACTTGGAACTATTCATAAAAATATCATATTATTTCAATTTCAAAACCCCGTAAATTTAATTAAAAACAGGAAAAAATATCAAAAGCTTCTAACTGAAAATAAATCAGATATAAATCATATCGTTTCAATTTCAAAATCTACAGTAAATAATGCCAGAAACTTAGAACTTACTAGAAAATTTAATTTAAAAAACTATAAATTTAAAAAACAGGCTAAAAACTTGCATCCGAAAATAAAACCATAAAATCAGATAAAAATCATTTCAATTTCAAAATCCCGTAAATTTAATTTAAAAAAACAGGAAAAACCCGCATCCGAAAATAAATCATAAAATCAAATCAAAAATCATATCGTTTCAACTTTCAAAATCTACAGTAAATAATGCCAGAAACTTAGAACTTACTAGAAAATTTAAAAAATTATAAATTTAAAAAACAGGCTAAAAACTTGCATCCGAAAATAAAACCATAAAATCAGATAAAAATCATTTCAATTTCAAAATCCCGTAAATTTAATTTAAAAAAACAGGAAAAACCCGCATCCGAAAATAAATCATAAAATCAAATCAAAAATCATATCGTTTCAACTTTCAAAATCTACAGTAAATAATGCCAGAAACTTAGACTTTACAAGAAAATTTAACGAGAAAATTTTAGTAAAAACCATTAAAATTAATCTTAAACTCTTAACGAAAAATTCCTATTAAAAGCATTAAAAACTGTTCATAAAAATATCCTTCAAAATCTCATAAATTTAATTAAAAAACAGAGGAAAATATCAAAAAGCTTCTAACCGAAAATAAATCAGATCAAAAACCATATTGTTTCAACTTCCAAAATCTACAGTAAATAATACCAGAAACTTAGAACTTACTAGAAAATTTAATTTAAAAAATTATAAATTTTAAAAAACAGACTAAAAACCGGCGTCCGAAAATAAAACCATAAAAGCAGATAAAAAGCAGTTCAATTTCAAAAATCCAGTAAATTTAGTTAAAAACAGGAAAAATATCAAAAACTTCTAACCAAAAATAAACAGTAAAAATCAATCAAAATTTCCAACTGAATATATAAGTTTAATAAAAATCAATCAAAATCATATTAATTCAACAGAAAAAGACACTAAATCATAAAATTCAAAACGTGATGAATTTATTTAATAAATCAGACAAAAAACAATTAAACAGTAATTATCGAAACTACTAGCAGTCATCAACAAGATGGCAACCGAAATCTAAAGTATTAATTTTTTATAGGCAGAGGAATGAACCTGCATGGAAATATATGTAAAATTGAGAGCGGCATGGAAAGGCACGAATACAAGAAGATCATTTTAACGTCCAAAAACAAATCAGAGAACAACAGAGACGCGGAGATCCGGCGGGTAAGTTACTTGCATGTCGTTGCTTTCAGTTTCTGTATTTTTTTTTCAGATCGCGCCGAAAATACAGATGTAATACACAGTCTTCTATACTGACTTAGATCTGTATCGCGTCGTGTAGGGATCTATCTTAAACGATTACCTAAGGGTAATCATTGGATTTTTCCTTGCCAACGAAAAAAAAGGTTTCAACCAAACGAGAAAATACTTAAACCCGTTCGTGAGCGCGAAAGGCCTTCGGGCTATCGAAACGAAAAAATGGCTGTCTTGTGATAGGAAATACGCGCTGTACTCCCAGCGCCATTCAAACATCTCGACGGCTGTGTTTCAAACTAAACAGATCCGTTGTGATGATAAGCGGCTTTTCAATGACTTTACCATTAAAAAAAAATATTCTATATTTAATTTTTCATAAAAATTTTTCTATTTTTGTAGTTTGACGCAATTTTTTCTATATATTTAGTAAAGTACAGTAAGACGTAACTTTTTCATAATTAATTTTTCATAATTTTTCATAAAATAATTTTTCTATTTTTGCAGTTTGATGTAATATTTAATTTTTCATAAATTTTTAGTAAAGTACAGTAAGACGTAATTTTTTCATAATTAATTTTTCATAAAATAATTTTTCTATTTTTGTAGTTTGATGTAATATTTAATTTTTCATAAATTTTTAGTAAAGTACAGTAAGACGTATTTTTTCACTAATTTTTCATAATTTTTCTGTCTTTAGTAAGTACGCTTTGAGGTAATTTTCGTAAAATAATTTTTCTATATTAGTTTGACTAATATTTAATTTTTCGTAATTTCTCCGTTTTTAGTAAAGTACAGTTTTGATCTAATTTCTACGTAAAATAATTTTTCTCTCATAAAATTTTCTATATTTTTTCATAAAAATTTCTATATTAGTTTTTGACGTAATACTAAATTTTTCTATATATTTAATATTTCATTAATTAGTAAAGTACAGATTTTCATAAAATAATTACGGGTTTGCGGTCCACATAAAAAACTTACCAACTGAACCAAGGAAACGCCACAGAGCGCAGGGTTATAGGGTGGGGGCGGTTCTTTGATAGCCATATGGGGCCTCAACAACAACAGCAAGTTGGAAGCCCCGGCAACTCAATTCCAAAAAATATGTTCGCACGCATGCGCACAAACGAAAGCGTTATCTATACATGCCCCTTGAAGGCGACGACCCTTATCTTATTAGGACTGGTATTACAGACGCCAAGAGCTGTACTCTCCCGCATGAAAGCGGTACCAGTCACGCTAACGTGAGGAAGAAAGTCGACCACCAGTCCACTCAAACCCTCGCGAGCACCACACACACCTCCGTACACCTCAACAGATCAGCGAAGAAAGAACGATTATAAAAGCTATTAAGCTTAAGCTTAAGATGCGCACCGTTACCACCACGCATATCACGTGCTTTCTACATCTTACGTGTGCTATCAGCTCGTATGTGCTCCGATTTACACACAACCAAATAGGAAAACGTATCAAACTAGGCGGAATCTTAAAATTAGCATTGATTCTTATGGCCGGAACGCACAAATCGTGGATATCAGGGGGCCTTTTTGTTATCGGTTAGCCGTTGTTTGACGAGCTCGCGCGCGCGTGGGCGTAATTATCAAGTGTGCCACAACTTACACGTGTTTTAATGGGGAAAACGCTACACTTTGCCAAATATCGTAAATTAACACTGATTCTAATGGCAAAGACGCACAAATCGTAAACTTTAAGAGGCCTTTTAGATATCGACCGTTAGGGACAGGTTCGAGATTAGGTTTCGAGCGGAGTATAAAGCCGGATACGTCGGTATATCCGGTCTTTCCTTTCGTATCAGTACGCTGTCTCCACGTGCGCTGTTATCATATTTGAAATTATCGGTTTTTAAGAAAACCGTCTTCAATAAAGGTGAGTTTTTAAAATAGGGCGTGTCGCATATCAAATTAAACGTCTTGCAATAAGATAGTGGGTTTCATCGATTTTTTTCATTTGTTCGCGATCGATAATGTCCCTAGTAGGTAGAAAGCGCTCACTATCTTTTTGTTTTTACTCACTTTCAAAATTTTTTCATTTTTGTCTTATACTTTTTGCGAGAATATACACCCTATTTTTTTAATCAAACACATCTTAATCACGTGACCTCTTTTCAGGCTCAAAATTATATCTCGCCGATACTAAGCGGCGGCCCCGAAAAACTACACATACAAGGTCTTCTCCAGAGATAACGAAGAGAAGGTCGTGTGTAAAGTTAAGGGTATATCCCTTAACTACTCAGCCTCACGACTGGTAAATTTCGACACCATAAAAGATATGGTGTTGGATACTTCCACCGCTCCGGTATGCGTGGCCTCGAGAAACATCCTGAGAACAAAGGAGCACGAGGTGGTTACAGTACAGCAGACCAAGCTATATAAACCTCTCTCCTGCAAGAGACGGTTCCTTGACGACCACAACTCGGTGCCCTACGGATGGAAGAGACCTAAGCTTTAACCTGTTTTTCTATGTGTGTGTAACATTCTGCATATATATTTACTAACTTGTATTCTAATTTAAATAAAAAATTAATTTTATCGCTGCTTTTAATTTTCCTCTTTCAAGTTAATTATTGCAAGGGTTAAAAATAATACTCAGTCATATGTTACAAGTTTTTATTAAGGATATCTGTACATAACATTACAATACATTTCCCCATAATTTTTACATTTGCATTTTTTAAATAAATTCTCTGAGCTTTCATTACTGCAAAACGCCGAAAACTGTTCACGTTCTTTCACATGGACTATAAGGGCCGCAGCATGTCCTTTTCTACGATGTGCTTCCAGCGTATAAATGTAGTTGAACGTCTTTGGATTTGAATGCTTGTTGAAGGGGTCAAAGTCCATTTTAGACAGCAAGGCAAACGATACGGGTTCATAACGTATATAACACGAAGGCTGTTTATCCAAGTACCATTGATTAATTAATACATCGTCGCGAATATTTAGCTTCCTTATCTCTCTCAAGGCTTTTGCTTTAAAGTAGAACGCTGTTTTCATTTTTACGATTTGTCACTACCAAGAACAAGACAAGAATGAGACGCTTGCTCAAGGTATTCTTATTATGTAGAAGGGGGTAAGAAATTAAATTGCGCTCGTATTTTAATCTATTTCTAGCATTTTATTAACGTCATTTACAAACATTTCAATCGGTGTATTTACTAGTTTAAAATCATTGTATTTACATGTAATATACGGTATTTCGTCCTTGATGCGATTAAAAAGGCTTATACTGTTGGGGTTATACTCTAAATCTGCCACAACGCGCGCTTTCGGGTGCTTCTTCTGTAGCCTCTTCAAGGATTGCGGGAAACGCCTTCTCTGTGTTCTAATGATATAGTGCGGATACTCGGTTGATTGATTTTTCTGTATTATAGCAAACATGTGTCGTTTGTTCGGGTTAACGACCTTTGAACTTATATCTTCAACGTAATTTTCTAGCTTCTCGTTCCGTGTCCCCAAATCTTGCAACTTGACCATCAGG